GTTCAATCCCCAGCACCCACATGCTGGTTCATGAAGGTCTGTAACTCCAGTCCCAAGGGATCTGACCTCCTTTTCTGGCCTTGGAGGGCACTGCAAGCATGTGATGCACAGACACACATGCAGGCAAAGTACCCCCACCCCCACACACATGTAATGAGAGATGAGAGAGTAATTGCCCATGGAGGAAATTTGGGAAGGGCAGGACCATCTAATAATGTTTCTTTAACTTTTTAATGAGGTATGTAGGATACAAACAAAGACACACATATATCCCAAATCTACTCCTTGGTGAATTTGCACAACCAGAACATGTCCATGGGAGCAGCATTTTAGAAGCTGTCTTTGTGCCCCTTCCTGTTGTGATCCCTCTTTCAAGGGTAAGTGGTACCCTGAGGTAGAACTGTGTGGGTTACTTTCGTCTATTTGGTTTCCACATAAGGGAATCACACATGTACTTACAAATTTTCTTGTGTGTGTGGTATAAAGTGTCTGTGTGCAGCTGTGAGTGTGCATGTTGGGTCAGAGGTTGATGTCTGGTACCCCCCTCTGTCTCTCACCTCCTCTGTCTCTCCCCCCTTCTGTCTCTCACCGCCCTATTGTTTTAAGGATAGATCCTCTCTTGGATCTATCGAGCCAGCAGGTTGCAGTTGCGGCTAGACTGGCTGGCCACCAAGCCCTCAGAGTCCACCTGTCTCTGCCCACACCTCACTCCCACTCCAGTGCTGGGGTCATAGGTACCTGCTGCCACGCCTAGCTTTTTACACAGGTGTGAACACAGGTGTGAACTCACGCTAGCATGGGAGACAGCTACCCACTGAGCCATCTCCTTAGGCACCGGTATTTATTTCTGGATGGCAGTTTGGCTCAGTCTTGTTTGGGAGGTCCCCCACACTGTTACGTACTCACGGGTTATGCATCCTCATGCTGTATAATATTCAGTATTGCAGTGGTGTACAGTTCACTGATGATGGGAGTCGGGAGGTTTCTGAACAGGATTTGTGTTTGATGACTGTTATACAGTGTTCTCTATTGCCACACGAATCTTTAAGTAACAAGGGGAGTTATGAGAAGGTTCAGTAAGGTGAATGCTAAGCCCAGTGCAGGGACAGCTCGGGATGGAACAGAAGCCATGTGTGAGCCAGCCATGCTGGCCTGCTCTTTTGTTTTCAGTGGTTTTAGTTACTCATTAGATTTCACTTAGCAGAAGCTTGAGTTGCCTGACAGTGGATCTAGAGAAAGACCTTCAATGATGTCTCCTACGGGCTTTTCTCTTCCATTTTTCTTTGTTATGGAAGGTTCCAAGGTCCCATTTACTTATCAAGGGAATGGGATGTGTGACTCAAAAAGACAATCAAAGCTTCTTTCTTGTAAACTTAAGAACTTGTCAGCCTCTGTAATCATGTAAGCTAATTCTGATTCCTTATAGTGAATCTACACACATTTACGCGCACGCACACACACACACACACACACACACATGCACGCATTAATAATAATAAAATTAAAAAAGCCTTAACTCAGTTATCCAGTATGTGCTCTAAAAATGGTAGTTCTTGAACTATGTTGATGATAGAAACGGGAGGCACCCCACCCTCGAAGACTACTGGGGTCAGCAGGAGCTGCAGCAGCAGCAGCAGCAGCAGCAGCAGGAGGGCCCAGTCCGAGTATCCAGCTAGGAACAAATGAGAAAACCCCTGACAACTGGAGCAGGAAAAGACTCAAAAGCTCCAGGGTGGGGTCAGAGGTGAAGGACGGAGTGGTGGTCTTACTTTTTCTGGTCCATTTTCCTTGCTTGTGCCTCAACATCGAGGGAGGAGGGAGAGGAGCCAGAGAACTTGCTCTGGTTCTGGTGGGCTTTTGCTTTCCCTTCCCGGGCTCTCTCCTGATTGGTCCTTATTCTTTACTTTATTTGCATACACACAACCAGAGTCTGCCATCTCTTTAAGGCAGTGGTTCTCAACCTTGTGGGTTGTGAACCCACTTTCAGGGAGTGCAATGGCCCTTTCACAGGGGTCGCCTGAGACCATCAGAAAACACCGATATTTACATTACAGGTCACAACTGCAGCAAAATTAGTTATGAAGCAGCAATGATAATGATTTTATGGTTGGGAGTCACCACAACATGAGGAACTGTATTAAAGGGTGGAAGTATTAAAAAGGTTGAGAAGAACTTTATAGTATAAACCCTGTGCTTATCCTCTTCATCATCCAACTTATTAGGCTTTTCTCAGAAAGGGAAGACTTCTTCTACCATTAGGACCTGAAAGAGATCCTGCCACAGGAAGGGGAACTCGGTCCTGCCTCAGCTTCTGAGATACACTGCTCCCACCTAAAGCAGAAAATTGGTTACCCAGTACCAAGTGTTCAGCCCTGAAATCACCTGCTGCGGGCTGCAGGAATATCATAAGAACTCAGCTGGCTATGGCAAAGTCACTACCTGGAGGAATCAGGGATTTCCTCCAGAGGAAGCCAAATCCCAAGGAGTTTTTGGTGTTACTTGGCTTGTTATATATCAGCTGTCTTCTGTTATGAAAATCATGTGTGCCTTCATAGTTTTCCCAATTGACTTTTCCCTAAGAAGGGCTAACAGTGTGGACTGATTCCTCTCTGGACATACACATTCCAGGTATTTGGAGAACAGCCTCAGGAAAGGCTTTCTCTGGAATCAGATATCTCCCTTGGACTAGCAGTAACAACAGTCCACATGAAAGTCTCCTGATTTAAGATAAATTCCACAAGGAGACACCACCTAGGTCAGGTGGACCTAAAGCAATAGCTTTACACAATTCAGCTCGGACTCTCCTTTCTTACAGCCTTACTAACTTTATAGACCTCTAACTTCTTACCTAACCACTTATAGGAATATTTAGATAACTTTCTGTGCTGACAGCTATGCTCAGCCAGAACCCCAGTTCAAGCTTCCCTGTAATTATCATTAGCAGCATCCGGCCACGTCCATCCCCAGATGGAGGGAAGTACTTTATCAGAGATACCTCTGTACTCTCTAAGAACAGACTTAAGCATCCAGCCTACCTGTTTGAGAAGGCCTGGCAGATGTGCCAATTAAGCCTTACTTCCTCCTTTCCCAAACCTTACCTCCAGTTCCAGATCTCCCTTTAACTATCACCAGAGGCATCTAGCTGTACACAGGTTGCCTAGCGACTGAGCACACTTTCCCCTACCCTGCAGAAAAATGGCAGATAGCTTGGACAGATAGGAGCCACAGGAATAAAGAAGACAGTTTTATTTTCCCCCATTGATCTAGCAACTTATAGATTCTTAACACTTTCTACCAATCACGTTTAAGATTATAGTTGAGCATATAAGAGCCCTCTTCTTAGATATTACCTGAATTTAACCTTTAGTTAATTTATTTCCCCATTGGTCACTTCCCTTTGGGGTTGCAAATGATAATTAATGTTTATTGCCTCCCTATGTGATTCTTATCACCCCTCCATTTGACCCTGGAAGCCTGGTTTTGTACTGCTAAGGGAATACTGCTTGTAAGTGTATATATACCAGGACTCCCAGGGCACGAGAGACAGAGAAGAGAAAAGAGAATGGAAAACCTAGATGGGTAAGAACTTGAGAGGAACAAACTGAGATGGGGAAGAACTAGATTGAAGGGCTAAAAGAGAGGACTAGAGGAACGAGATGGAAGATGAGGAAGAGCCAGATGGGGAAGAACAAGATGAGGAAGAGCCAGATGAGAGAGAAGGAGACGGGAGAGGAGCTGATAGGGGAAAGAACTAGATAGATGAGAACCTAGAAGGGACAGAACTAGATGAAGGAATTAAGATAGAACCTAGAGGGGACAGTAGACAAATATAGAGAAATCAGGCAAGGAAGGAGCTAGGCATGAGAGCAGAATAGAAGCTGTGTAGAGAGAGAGAACTATCACAGAATAATAATAAAGTGTATGAACTAAGGAGTTTCGTGTACATAGATTCATTTCTTCTCATTAAAGATTAATTATCAGCTGGTTGTAGATTCTTCCCGGACCCTGGGAGGGGACTATTGAGAGGCTGGACCCCCATAGTCCTCGATAATCACCTACATACAAGTAACATTATATGGACTGAACAGGCTCTATTTACATAGTTAGGAATATATACATATCTAACAACAAGGAAAGAAATCAGTGTCAGGGTGCAGAGACGGCTCAGCAGTTAACAGCACTTGTTGCTCTTGCAGAGGACCTTGGTTTGATTCCCAGCACCCACATGGTAGCTCACAACCATCCATAATTCCAGTTCCAAGGGATCTGACTCCCCCTTCTGATCTCCTCAAGCAGGAGGCATGCATGTGGTACACATACATACATTCAGGCAAAACATTCCCATGTTTAAAAAAAAGTTAAAAAAAAACCAAACAGACAAATAATTTGAAAGAGCAAATGAGGTGTGTGGGGGAAGGGTCAGAGAGAGAGGAAAAGTAAGAGAGGGAATGATGTCATTGTGTTTTCATTTAAAAATACATATTTTTTAAGAAATTTGGGGCCACTGTCTCTTGCTGGAGTTGTCTCTCCTGGGTGACTCCATTTTCCTGTTTGAACTGTTTTCCTGAGTGGTGAATACAGTCTCTCTATTTTCCTTCTTTACTGTCTGCCTCCTTCATTCTGGGATGAGCGGCCGAACAACAGCCTGCCACTATCTTACACCACAGTCCCCAAAGGGTCCCCGCTTCCTACCCATCCTAAGTCATGCACAGCCCTTCTTTCCAGCCAGTGTAGAGTTTGATCTGTTACCAAGGAAACCAGCTATTAAAGCTTCTCTGGCCACTGATCCCTCCCCCCCAATATCCCGCCTAAGGATTTAAAAACCCCATATTAGCTATTGTTCTAATGAATCCAGAAATGAAAATGGATAAAACATCTGTTGTGGAAAAGTACCAGAAAACTATGAAGCTGAAATTAATCACGGAAACATCCTTTGTTAATGATTTATCGGCTCTCATTTGAGCCATGAAGGGATTGAGAATAGATCATTGAGGGTTATGATGGGGTGGTCTGGCACATACCTCTAGTTGTAAATCTATGGCAACTAGGAGGAAGTTTGGACTGAACAGAAAGTTGTTGACTGAGTGGGAGGAAGAAGCCACCCACCGTGAGCGTCATAGCTTGCGTTAGACTAGTTTAACTCATTGTAGGTAGTCAGGAGTGTGGCCTCCAACCAGAACAGATGACCCAGGACAGACACGCCTTGGCTTTGCTTCTGTTTCTAGTGATTCTGACCAGTGTGGTGGTGTATGACTTCTTACAACAACATTCACAGGATTTCACTCAATGCTTTCCTGCTGCTCATTTCAGTGAAATGGCTTTCCTGGTCGTCAGGAGGTGATGTGGTTGAAGTGGCCACGTTAGCTTTCCAGAGCACCTTCCCCTGTTTCCTCCGTGTTCGGAACCACGCCGGTGTCCTCCGTCACTCCCTGGCTCTGTTTCACTCCCCAAGAAAGGAAGAGTTCTCAGCCGTCTCCTCCTGTTGTCTCCTTTGTCCTTATTCTGCCTAGTTTTGCTTTTTCTCTCAGCAGTTTGTACTCAGTGTTCAGCCAGGCCTGGAAGGGGGCCCTGTTTCTTCCCACAGCTGGCTCCCAACTTTATGTTCCTGTTGATACCTGCAGCTGATTAGGACGATGATGTTTAGACCATGAGACCAATCAGATTGTTAAAGTATAAACAGTACCTGAGTGATTGTGCCGTTCCAGCCCTAGGGCGTGGAGCTCACAAATGTACTAGCACTAGTGGCCAACAGGGCTCTCCAGTTTAGCTGCTGTCCCTGTGGCAGCCTGCCAGCTTCTCCCCCTCCCCCCCCCCCAGGTTCTGGCAGGCGATTCAGGGGTTCTCCTATGCCCAAAGCTTCCTACAAACCATCCTGTCCTTCCTACTCTCAGAGTCCAACATGAGTGTTCTGTTTTATCTCAGCCCTTGAATTTGGCGGATCAAAGGGATAAGCCATCACTTCATTTTATTGCCGGTGTTCATGAGCTTTTGATTTTCCTTTAACCGTTTTTTGTATGGGGATCAGGGATTAAAAAACTATGTCGCCACCACCTCTCAAGAAGCTGCAGACTGGGCGATGTGTAAGGTTCCACCTGGTCCCACCTCCCGCTGTGTGCAAACCATCACCAACACTTTTGTGGAGCAGTACACAGACCTAGAGATGCTCTTGGCCATGGCTGGAGGTTGCCTCCTGTTAGGAGGAGCGTCTTCTGCTGATTTTTATGGACAGAGTCCTTCACTTAGCCACTAGCTACTGGGGTCCCGCAGGCATCTTCCTACAACCTACTGACCCTTCACCTGCTCTCTACACCTCCAGGGTTCCCCTACCTTTCTGGTCACTGTTTAACTTGTCAGATAGGAAAGCAATAATAATAAAAATTTAAAAACCGGTGTAAAACCTTGACCTTAAAGGGAAAAAAAAAAAGGCTACTTTTCTATACCTACCTCCTGCAGCAAAGAAGTTTCCAGAACTCATGACCTCAGAAAGTGTCTCAGAATTCATGTCAGTTCCTTGTTTTGCAAACAAAACAATTTTCCACAGAACTGAATTAAACAAAAGAGTAAAGGTATCTTGAATATTATTATTTTTGGAATATCATTTTGAAAAGGAATACAAACTACAATTAAATTGTTATAGCTGCATGAGTTTTGGGCTTTCTAGAAAAACAAAGAATTGGACATGTGTGCGGGCATGTTTGTGATTTCGCATAAGGTATTAGCTTTCTTGATTGTGGACACTGATAAGTTCCCAAATCTGTGGGTGGGAAGCTGGAGACCCAGGGAAGCCAGAGCAAAGCTCTTGTCCAAATCCAAAGGCCTGAGAACCAGGAGACAGATGGTGTTGTTCTTTTCCAGGGCTGGCAGGCTGAACACCCAGGAAGAACTGAGGGTTCAGTATGAGGCAGGAAGAGGCTGATGGTCCAAGCGTTTGCCAAGCAGGAGGCATCCCATTGCTCTTACTCATGGGAAGCTCATTATTTCTGTTCTATTTGGGCTTTTAACTAATTAGATGAAGTCCACCCTCATTAGCAAGGTCAACTACATCACTACATCTATTGATTTAAATGTTAAACTTATCTGGAAATACCCTTACAGAAATACCCAGAACAATGTCTTATTAAATATCTGGGTACCAGGTAGCCTGCCCAAACTTATATCTAAAATTAATCATTATAGCTACTAATCACTGAATACTTTTCAAGTACTAATGACTTTGAGATGACCTTGTCTAAGCCACTGGAGAAGGCCGTTCTGCCTACAGTGATCCGTTCTAGAAGTCCAGGGAGGGAGGAGTAGGGGCTGGGATGAATTCTCCGGAAGTGTCCAGAATGATGTCTCCCACCCCTCATTTCAGCCCTTGGAAAGCTGAGACAGGGGGAACTGAAACCAGCAGAGGCGACACAGGGAGTCCCTGTCCCTAAAAAAGCAAACAAGTTTATCTCATTTAACCCAGTTTTATAGAGGAGGGAGTTAAAGGAAATTAGCTGAGATGACGTAAAGAGAAAATAGCAGGGATCCAAATCCGTAATTTCTCCTGCCCTTTTCTTCCCCCCTTCCCTCCTTCCCTTCCTTTCTCCATTTCTTCTTTTCCAGTCTCTGTCGTCTTTCTTTCTCCCATCTAAGGCCACTGCCTGAGGAAAACTGGCAGATTTTTTTTTGCAGAATCAAGTAGCTCGACATACTGACATCTGTATAACAGGCTTCCCCGCTGTATCTGTTGACTGTACAGGGCAATAATGGAAGTTTCCAATAGTCAAGGAGGCAGGAGTGTCTGCAGCCGTCCTCACCCTAGCTGTGCAGCGGGACAGGTGGTGAGTGGAGCTGGCGCTGCGTGAAGAGCCACTGTGTGGATGTGGAAATAGATGGAGGCGGCTAGGGGCCAATGGGGAAGGTGGGTCTGCCTTGAGTCGGTCAGTTCTAGAAGTCCAGGGAAAGAGAAGTGGGGCCTGTGATGAAGCTTCTGGAAGGGATCCAGAAGCGTAAGGAGAGCTCTGGAGCAAGGACGACCTTGCATAGATAAGAGAAAGCGCACTGTGAGTGGTTTGGTATGCCACATGAAGAAAATGTTGCTACTAGATGGGGTAGGAGAACCCTGCCCAGGAGAAGGGATGCCTGGTGCCAAGCCACACATTTTCTATCTGCTGTAGGTTCTGAGCATCATGCTTTGGTGTTACGTCTTTTCAGCTTTAAAACATCTATGACCAGGACTTATCCTGGGTACGTGAACTGACTTTTTAAGAGCCTATTCATTCCCTGTGGTGGGATGCCTTACTCAGCCGTGATTCAGGGGGAAGGGGCTAGGTCCTGCCCCAACTTGGTATGCCAGCCTGTGTTGACTACCCAAGGGAGGCTTTATCCTTTATGAGGGAGGAGGTGGGAGGAAAAGAGAAGGAGAGGGAGGGGGAACAGTGATTGGTATGTAAAATGAAAAGAAAATAAAGAAAGAAAGAAACTATACAGATACACAGGAAGGCATTAATCTTATGATTGTGATTGAATCATGATGTTTTGTTTACTTACTTGCATTTTCTTTTTTAAATTTGTATTCTCTCTCTCTCTCTCTCTCTCTCTCTCTCTCTCTCTCTGTGTGTGTGTGTGTGTGTGTGTGTGTTTGCACATGTTTAGAGGTCAGAGGACAACTTGTGGGAGGGCCGCTCTCTCCTTCCACTGCGTGGGTCATGACCTGGAACTCAGGTCATCAAGCTGGGTGGCAGGCACCTTCACTGACTGAGCCTCATCTCATAGGCCCTTTATTTCCATTTTTCTGAGATGAATTTCATCTTTTCCTTAAGAAAAGAACAATCAAGGAGAACTCTCTTTGAGAACAAAGTCGCATTTGCTGGCTGGAGTTTTCATTAAGCCGGGTATTTACTAATAGTTTGCAGAATTTTCACAGGCCTGGGAGTCCAAAGTCCTGGACCAGCGCTGACCAGAATGTACATGTGAGCAATGCCTGCACACTCTGTCCAAAGGCTTGCATGTTGACATTTCCTCTAGATCTGTGTCACTGTAGCCAAACACAGCCCGATTTCAAAAGGAGAGAAAAGCTGCATTCAAGTTTAAAAACTTTTTCTACAGAAGTCTTACGTTGTCTTGATTCAGCTCATGTCCAGATATTATTCTGTTGCTATTGTTCCAGTTTTCTCCTCGGTTAATGCTCATGTAGAGAAATGCTGCTGACTTTTATAAATTGAGCTGTTTCTGGAGAGTTCGCTGAGTCAACACAACATTTTCTGAAGTGTTTGATCACCTGTGTGTTTCTCTGCTTTGTTTGTACTCCACGCTCCCGAACGCACTTCGTTTCTTCTCCAAATCTGTCTCCTTTACAGATCTTTGAGAACCTGAGAATGCATTTGTTGCTCCCTGCTTGTGTCTGCGCGCATGGGGGAATGTTCTGGAGCTGAACTGGGGACCCTGTGCATGCTAAGCAAGTGTTCAACCAGTGAGCTGTTTTCTCAGCCCTGCTTTCTCTCGATCTTTCTCTTGGAGACAGGATCTCACTGAGTTGCCCAGGCTGGATTTGAGCTTTCTATGTAGCACAGGAAGGCTTGGAACTTCCCACTCTCCTGCCTCGGCCTTGTGACTTCAATGTCTGGCTGAGCCCAGTGTTGCCAAGGTGTGGTACAGTTTCTACCCCTTCTACTTCCTTCCTGTCTTAGTCTCTGGAAACGTGTAGCTGTCTGTCTGCGCATGCTCCAGCTTCATGCTCTGCCTAGCTCCCATTTTTTGTTCTTTGATGGATTTTTTCACACTAGTGAGCAGCTTAAAAGTTTTTTTTTTTAAATATTTATTTGTTTAGTTTGGTGTGGTGTGGTGTGGTGTGTGTGTGTGTGTGTGTGTGTGTGTGTGTGTGTGTGTACACTTGCAGGCCTCAGCTCTAGGGTGAAAGTCAGAGGGAGAAGGTTCTCTCTTTCCTGGAATTGAATTCATGTGGTCAGGCTTAGCCTTAAACACCTTTACCTCCTGGGCCATCTTATCAGCCCCTGGATACAGCATCTTTAGCAAAAAAAAAAGGGGGGGGAGTTATTTTTGATTGCTCTTATATTTCCTTTCCCAGATTTCCTCCACTATACACAGCTAGTGTTATTGAAGGACTGGTAGCCTGAAATCTGCCTCCATATATCTCTCAACTGGAACCTGGAAAGAATCTTCATCATTTAAAACATTTGGTGTGAACTTGGGAGGTATATGGACATGGGTTTTTGTGTGGAGGTCCATCTTAGTCACCATTCTACTGCTGTGAAGAGACACTATGACCATGGCAGCTTATAGAAAAAAGAATTGAATTGGGAGCTGGCTTACAGTTGCAGAGGGCTAGTCCACGGTGGGGAGTGAGGCCTCAGGTAGGCAGGCAAAGTGCTGGAGCATCAGTTGAGGGCTTATGCCTTACTGGCAAGATGGAGGCAGACAGAGAATGAGGCTGGGTATGGCGTGGGCTTTTGAAACCTCGAAGCCTACCCCCATTGACACACTTCCTCCAATGAGGCTACACTTCCAGATTCTGCCTAAACAGTCTACCAACTGAGAACCAAACATTCAAATATATGAGCCCAAGGTGGTCATTCTCATCTGAACCAACTCAGGGGCTCTTTGTGTCTAGCCATTTTGCACCTCCAGCTCCTGACTTGGTTTCGTCCTACTGCCAGGGCTCTGGTGGTCCCTTGGACTGTGCCCCATCCTGGGGTTTTGGTCATCCCTCTAGTTTTGTCCTATTGTTGGGTTCTGGCTGCCCCTCCAGAGTGCTGCTGCCCTGTTGGGATTCTGGTGACCTCTCTTTTTTCACTGGGCTCTACACTGCTCCTGGGGTTCTGCCCCCTCCCTCCCAGGCTCCTACCCATCAGCAGTTTGGAAAACCAAAAACCCGGAAGCTAAAAGATGGCGAAAGGAGATCCAGGTGACATCTTTCACGCCAAAGGAGAGTTAACTGAGATCCCGGTGACATCATCTTTTAGAATTCCTGTTTTCACCCGAATGTCCTTTACTTTCGTCCTGTGTCCATCCACCTGGAAATTGGCCCATTTTAAAATCCTAAACCCTGAACTCCTTCAACCTCTGTGGTAAGGACCCCACTCCTTACCACCTCCACTTCCGCTAACCTATCAGTTCTCAGGTCATCTTTCCAGGCTAACTGGGAGCGCATTGTAAGACTGTAAGCAGACGCCCACACTTGCACCAGACATTCGTTCAACTCTCGGTCCTGTTCCGGAGGGCAGCTCTTGGCAAATTACCCTTCAGCTGACTCTGCCCACCCCTGTGACCTCCAGGGAAGCTCAAATTCTTCCTTAAAGACAGCCCCTTTCTAGTTCAACAGTTAGCTTGATTCACCTAGACCTGTCCAGCGTGCCATGCAGACTCACATGAATCATATCCTGTTGATGCATGAATACAGATCCCAGCCCCTGACTCCAGGATTACCAACTGACCGATTGACACAGGATGGAGAGGGAGAGAGGCTTAAACCCCATGATGCTCCAGTTTCAGCAAGAAGTAGCCAGAATGGAAGTGGATACCCATACATCCCTTGAGCCCCACGGCCCTCTAAC